TGTTAGACATGAACTACGATGTACCTCGAGAAATTTTCTAGGCCCTGCTGGTATCATTTGAAAAAAAAAATTAAACAATAACTCGAAAAGAGTTGTTTGCCGTTAAAATGTTGTGAAAACATACAATATGTTCAGTTTGAAAAGTTTGAAAAACTAGATAGAATACAACGTCCATATATAAGTTTATATAATATCCACGCACGAGCATACAGTAAGTTATAGTACATAAACAATAGTATCTATAATATTAATCACTATTACATTATTAATGTTGTGTATTTTTAAGTTTTAAGATACTGGGGCAATAATTTCTTTGTCTTCATCAGAACACACACAGCTGTGGTGGCTGTGTTATAGCAGTCACACGATGTGTAGGTGAAAAACCAGACGAGTCCACCTCAAACAAGTTCTAAGTATACCATGTGGATACTGTGTTGACCTATTAATTATGTTGTGGCATCATTTTTTTTTTTTTTTAATGTTGTTCTTGTATTTAAATTATGCTATTTATTTCAAATAGTTATAAGTTTGATTTATTAAATTAACTTTTTCAATAAAATATTTATTCCTTTTCCTCCTGTGAACTAAAAAAGAAAACAAGTGTATCAGAAATAAAAATAAGAACTCAATTTACAAATCTATGAATATTGTTTTTAGTTGTAGAAATAAACTGATCATCCTTCTCGTACACAAATATAATTTCATTTCTACTTACCTATACGTTTTCTTTCTCCGTTATAATCACTATAATTTTTGATGATAACAATGATCTATCGATCGTTACTGGCGAGCTATGTTGAATGTTTTGAATAACGCGTATGCACTGCAGTACATGTGGTGTACGGTTTTTGAGGGTACGTTAGGAGGTACGGGATTGGGTTTGTTTTTTACCTTTGCCCGACGCTTCGGATGAAAACTATTGCGCGCCATGGCTTAAAAACACAACATAGATAATTGTAGTTATTAATAAAAACACTTTTATTCAAACGAACATTTGCATTTTACAAAAAAAAAAAAAAAAAATAATTAAAACAATTTTTTAGCATTTATATTTAATGTATTTTTTTTTTTTTTAATTTTTATTATTATGTAACAATAACATGCTGATTTCTTTTTCAATCAATATACAACGATCATTATACAAATAATTTATTGATATAGGTACTAAATTAAAATTATTACATCCACTAGATATCGATATACCTACTATACATATGAATATTTAATACGATCATTGGATTACAATAAAAAAATTGAAACAAAAACAAATGTATATAAATTATTTAATTATTTATTTACAGAACAAATCTAGGAATGTATGTATTATAGCAATAATAATATAATTTTATTTTCACCTAACTTTCGTCAATATTAATCATTTATTTTTATTTTTTTGGTTTTTTTTTTTTTAGTTTATATAATTTTTTTTTTTTTTTTTTGCTTATTATCTCAAACACAGGTTAAATTTAGTTCAATGCTCTCCGCGTCGTATAAATATTATATAATCTCTAGTACCGACAGTACCGTTACCTATAATAGTTTAAGAGAAAAATAGTCGGACGTTTAACGAACGCCTAAGTCTAACAATAGTAGTAGTAATAATAATAATAATAATAATAATTATAAGAGGACAAATAAAATATTAATCAAATTACAAGTATAATATTTTATAGAAATAGGAAGAACGCAAAGAACAAAACGAGTAGAACGCACGTTTCTCGGGATTAATAATTTTAGATAGATTTGACTGGAGTCTATTGTTTTTATATTCGTAATACTGTTAAAGAAAAAAAATCGAATAAAAAAAAAAAATCTAAAAATTAATGTACATATGGTTACGAGTTTTGATTTCGACAGAACTCTATACAGCAGTAGTTGTATGAACTTATGGTTAAGAACACAAATTTGGGGAAACAGTCTAAGAACTTCTTAAAAATTAAAAAAAATAAATAAATAAACAAATAATTATAATATAGCATTAATAATAAAATAAATAAATATAAATAGTAACTTATTGCTTTTTCCCATGCGAATATGGGACGTATTACGGTGATAAATTATTATTATTATTCAATTCCAGTATTATTATATTATTAAAACTCGAAGCGTACGCATATTGTTTTTATTATATATGACGATTCATTTTGTAATATTATTCGCTTTTTGCAATTAATTGTTTCAAAATACATAAAGATTGTCGATAATTATGAAATTTTATTTGGAAAATTATATAATATATTTTATATTTTGTTTTATTATTACTTTTTTTTTTACAACGTGACAATTTATTAACGTGTTTATCATTAATCTTTTCTTTCTTATAATTAAAACTACTTTAAAACAATGATTAAGAAGTGCAGTAAAAAAAGCTTTATATTCGCACGAAACGTAAAAAATTCGTGATAGCTGAATAATACGAATGTATTGAAAAAAATCAACAATAAAATGTTGTTATAGGTTGTTTTTTATACGATTATAAATCATAGAATCATTTTTTTTTTTTTTTTTTTTTATAATTATTCATATAATTTTAAAAAAATTCATCCTAATCTCTATTGTGCAGCCTTTTTCCAATCCATTGAAATTGACAAGTTTAAAATAACACGCTCTGATTGATTGTAAAGAAAGTATATAATTTAAATAGAAGTTGCACACGTGTTTTTTTTTTGTTTTTAACAATTGAACGTTAAATACAATTATAATGTATATAATTAATTATATTTATTCGTCCGACAATATTTATAACAATAATAATTATAATAATAATAATAATTTATTAATGAATATCGGCATAGAAAACGTTTATAAATACCAGTACAAAAAATTTAAGTGTTATTCAATATTATTATTATAGGTTTGTATAAAAATCTTAAGTTGTTCACTCCCAATAGTCATTTTTTATTTATTTGTTTGTTTTAACAAGGTGTTTTATTATTTCGTTGACCAAACCTTTCGAATGGAAAACAAATCAAAAATTTATTTTGTTTAGTTTAATTTATTTTATATTATTTGAATTAGATTTAATAAGTTTCGTACGTTTAAAGAAGAGCAATTAATATTATATTCAAACACCTAATATGGAATACATTGACATCTATGTATGACGTATGTAGATACGTACGTAGAAGTATTATAACAGTTCTTATTATTATTATTGAAAAATGTTGATCGAATATTGTTGTAACAGAAGAAAACAATAGGTATAGGTACTACAGAACTGCCTGTTATCGTTATTATAATTTATTAATTTTTTTTTGTATTTTTAGTTTTGTTTGAATTAAGGGTACATTATAATATTACGAATAAGTACTATATTGATTTTATGTTTAGCTTATAAGAATCAACCTGAAAAACAATTGAGTAAGCGTGATTAGCATCGAATTATTTATTCTATTTTATATACCTATTTACATATATATATATGTATATATATAAATAACCATCAATTTAGACCGTCTTGTAAAGTAAAGTTTGAGTTTAGATTTAATTTGTTTTTCAATCGATAAATCATTTTTTTGTTTTGTTGGTTTTGAATTTCCGATAACCTATACAAAAAAAATAAATAAAAAAAATCCGCTAGTTCAATAACATTTGGCGGTTATTAATACTTTCGACAGACTGTATCAAATTACCCTGTAATCCATTTTTTCATGAATTCACTAGAAAATAAAATTTAAAATACTAGTCATTATGATCATAAAATCGGCTGTTGAAAAAAGCTAACAGATGAATTATAATATTTTCTAACACGCATCATTTTTATTATTATTAAAAATTATCAAAAGAAAAAATGTGTACAAAATAAAAAAATAAAAATATTACCGAATTATTATAATAGTTAGTAATAGTTAGTATTATATATATATATATATATATAACGGTTTATTTCGATGACATTTTGACGGCCTAAATCAATATGTTTTAATATTGCGCGTTTCCTGAACATTTTTTTGGCGGGTGAAATAAATGATACTTATATGTTGAAACACAAAAATGGCCTTTAATATATTATTATTATTAACGGAGAATAATCTGTTATATTATTAATACACGTCCAACGAATCGAAAAATACAACGGACATCCTGCCATGCGTTGTGGGCACTTAAAAATATTTAAAATTAACATGAACATTTTTTAATTAATTTAGCATCGATTATAAAATTATAATTATAATAATAATAATAATAATGATAATAATAATAATAATGATAATAATAATAATAATAATAATAATAATAATAATAATAATAATAAT